ATACAATAAATAAATCTAATGTGAGAGCTGGGGAATAGCAGTTCTCTCATAGTTTTGTTATCTGCGTGCAAGACTGCACGATAAGAAAATAGTTAAAATAACGTGAATAATATACATAATATTTCTTGGGTCAACAATAAGGAATAATGCAGGTTTACCTCCGTAGGTTGTAATAGTATCACATCTGACGCTGAGTGACATACCAACCAGTAATAATTACATTTCCGATATATAGCGTGCTCAGAAATCCCGCACATTTGCTGAAACCACAAGTGTGATAATATTCAATTTAGATAACTTACCTTGTAGATCTTGGGTTAGCAATAATGTAGAAGACAGATACAACTCAGAGGGTTGTAACAATATCGTATGAGGAAGTACACATCAATCAATGATCATTCCATTCCATATGAAACAATTAGAATTCCGGCACGTTCTTCGACGCCACAAATGCCATATGCAATGGCTGCGTTAGGTTTATCAGTTTAGCGGATTAGCGCTTTCTTTCTTTGTTTCATCATGCTCCTAACTCATCCAAGATCTTAATTCAGTAATTCACTCCACAAATTTGAGTGGCCTATCAGGTTTGCACTTAGAGAGAGAACAGCCCACTCTTCTCTTATTCTACTCTACCCACAAACACCTTTTTGAACTCACAAAAGTAATCAAAGTCCCCAAAATACTCGTAAAACTTAAAAGATAAATAATGAAATTTGCCCAAGAGAAATTTTCAATGCGTTTCAGTGGCCAAAATTTGAATGTGGATATCTTTTTATCCGCAGATAAACTATTTCGGGTACAGTAACTGCTAATCATTGTTCATCCTGGCAATTTCTTGAGCATCTTTGTCTTATTTCAAGGTGAATGATTAGCAGCAATAATAAAGAGGGAAATTTACATAATCAACTCACTTGGTAAAATTAGTGTGTTTTGCACATCTTAATGCTATCGCATGAACTTGCACTGATAAATGATGACAAAAAAAAGATTTTGTTTTGAAAGTTGGCCTTAGTTTGAATTCATAACGTTTCTTTAATTTTTATAATAATAATCGGTTTTGTCCGACGCCGAAATGTCGATGTCCACTACGTCCGGTGGTTTCAACGCGTTCATTAATAGCTGATGTTTTGTCAAATGCAGTCTTCAGACTTTGGAAAGCGGAAAGAATCACTTGAACCGCTCCGAAAACTTTAAAGTAAATTACGTTGTAGCGATTTGGGGCTGTTTCTCTCTTCCGTTGTTTAAAAAAAAATTCCCTTGTATTGTAGCCAAACGCGTGAAAAAATGTGTCGAAACTATTTGAACATTTTCCTTTCGATCCTAAGTAGTTTCCCGGGCAGTCAGAAATTTTTGAACCAGACAAAAATGTTTTGTGACAGGCATTAAGTGAACGAAAACGGAGTAGCCGCTTGTTCTCTCGCCACGCTTGGAGGTGATAAGCCACTTGAGTTCTTTAGCCAAAAAAAACAAAAGAATGTTATTGAGTTAGAAACATTGCGACAGTAGGTACAAATAGTTTAACTCGTGAAATAACTTGAACTTCTGTTACATAACTTGGGCGGAGCCATTGAATATCACGTTTGTGACCTTAATGCGCGTGCAATATATCTCAAGCGATCTAATAAAGAATATCCAAGGTCGCACATTTCGTTAACTCAAGAAATAAACGTGGTTTCTGGAATTCTTCGACGTCACTTAACTTTGATAGTCTCAAGAAGTTCTAAAGAACATCTATGAAAATTTGGCTAAATATTTCTCACTGCCGGCCATTTGATCCATTCAAGACCGGACTTGGCTTCGATCATGTGGCCACAGCGTAGTGCATGATAATTGATGGTATTGAGATATCGTCGGTGACTCAAATCATATTACTCGTGTTACTCTAATAGTCTGTACGTGTGGTCTGAATTTAGGAGTGCCTGATCAAGGAATGGAATAAGGACGACAACGGTGCCATCAAGCACTTTTGAAGTGTCAAATATCAATGGATAGCTCAGTTTTATCGCTCTTGATTATTGAAATAAACGTATTAGATAGAATTTCTCAATGCAAGCTGATCTGCGCAGTAATTTTATTTCTCTTTATGCATCTGATGAGGGAAAATATTTTTCTGGGGGTCAGAGATGTACCATGCAATTACTAATCTTAACATTCTAACCAACAAGAGAAAAAAAAAACTGTAATACCTCTGAGGATTAACTGACATTTTTACCATTTAATCTTGAATCTCATTAATAACTTGTCTAAAATTCTTACTCTTCACCATACGCAATACTCACGCACTTGCACTAGGAGGTCAATGATGTACTCTGCAACTACTACGAAGCTGGACATTTTAGTTAACAGAAAAATCATAATTTTATTTTGTTTCACAGCTCTGAAGATTAATTAGCTAAAATGTCACCATTAAATAACGGATGCCATGATAAAACATGATGGATACTGTGTGAGATACAGTATCAGGAAGCTACTGAGATACGGATGCAAGTGCGTGTTGAGCTGTCTCCTTCATTAATCGTAATCCCTGATCTTCTTTCCATTATAATTCCGCCTTAGCCATCTTGAATGAAGATAACACGACTGTTTAGAATAGGTTCTCTTCCTACGTCCATGACTCAAGTGAAAGATATCCCCACATGAAAAATCAAGCTCATTGAATACTTTGACATAAAACAGTTAATTGGTACATGTTGTACATTAATTTATCGATTAATGATGTGATTGCTTAGGCCTCTGCATTTTATGCCCTGATCTGCTGTGATATTAGTATGCCACTAACATTATATACAGTCACAAGGTATATGCGCTTTCGCTTTTTCAAAATTAATAATGAAATGGAGAGGATTGAGGGTTCTTTTGAAACAACGCACCGAACGAAAACTCTCTAGAAACAAAGAGAAGATCTCTCGCATCTTATGGCATCTGCTCGATGGCAGATAGGGGAAGACATGGTGTTAAAGTAATTAATTTGTAATTGGTTTGAAACGTATCACAAATTCTGCCTCTAATTATACAAAGTTCGCGCCAAAAAAATTGTTGCTATCCAGTTATGAATCTCAACTTTCATTTCCACGGAAGAGTGGTGTCTGTTCAAACAATACGTCAGTTCCCCCTGCTAACGTTTTTCATCCAGGATCTTAGGGTCATTATAGATTGAATAGACAGCTGTATCTCTCCTGCCCATTGTATTAAGGTACTGTATCAGAAAGAAAATATTTCCATGTCAATATTCATAGTTATTCGTGCGACTGACAAAATGAAAGTTATCACTTTTAGGCCTCTAATGTGATCAAAAATTGTACTTTAAAACACCTCTAAAAATCTTTATTTAACCTTATTTCGTGGCTCTTCGGCCAGACTACATGAAACCGAAGTCTTAATAATTTGTCGTCTCCTATTCCGGTAGATGAAAGATTACGCCATTTTCACCATTTAACCACAAATCCCATCACTGAAGTGGAAACCTATCACAAATTCTGCAAGAACGCTACACGCAATTCTCACGAACTCGAAATTGTTATCCAGTTAAGTATATTATCCTTCCAACAAAACAAAAGTTTCCCTTGCTTACGTTTAAGAGTGGAACCTTTTCGGTAAAATCCTATAAGGTATATTTTGTGCAATTTTAACTGCATTTGGAACTTTCTAGGCATAACTTACCAAGGATTGGCCGCAACGGTAATCAATTTAACAAGTCACTCTCAACGGAAATTCTCGAAAAGATTAATACAATTAAAGTTGTGTCTGGCGATAACGGAAGTACTCCCTCAACTTAAAGAGGCATTGATGCATATAAATGTGCGTACGCAACTCTGTCAGCTTCTTGTAACTCAGCAGAAGGTTGAGTGTAATCACCATTATGCATTTTTTGGCAGTGTTTCTAGGTGGTAGCACATGCAACACCAAAAGAATGACAGTAAGAGGTATCCAACAAGGAACGGGTATGTGAAATCTGCCTCTTTGATGAACAATCGCATCTCAAAGAGACTTTCGTCGAAAGCTGAATCAGTTCTTAGATCCAATGCTTACCGTCTCGAATATAGGACGTTTTGCACATCTATATCATTTACCCCTAATTTCTAACCCATGGAGTTTGTATGCGATTCTTAAGCTTGCAAACAGCAAGAACTTTCGAAAAGTACACCCTGTATTATCAAACGTAACGTACTGTTACAAACGCTCAATTTTTTGCATTTCACTTTGTGCAAAATCCGGATTTCAAAATCTACATCGAGTTTTCCCGATCGAAAGTACCAATACCTTGTTAAGTTCTGTCGGTTGTTTATTTCATTCTGTAACGTGCGTGGCACTGAATATTAAATATCATAGCTTGAATGACTTCACTTCGCACAATTTCTTCTTCTCTTCAGGTGCAGCTCTGCTGCTCTCGGCACTTTTTGCAAATTATCAAATTATACCTTCAACCAGTGCAGCGCCGATAGATTGCCAGAAGAACACTGCTGTCTGCTTAGAAGAAATTATGAAGGAACTGACCCAAGTTCGATTTGGGATTAAACTTCTCACGGAGAACATAACATTGGTGAGATGTAAGTGAGACTCTTTTTTCTAATTGAACTGATTATTCCATTTTATCTTTTTCATAATATTGAGTAGCATGAAAAACGGTGGTCTTATGCATGGCGATTTCAATTCCTTTCTTGAGGAATCACTTTGCCAGTTTGGATGACGAAATTTCCTGTGCGCTTGGAGCTCTTATCTTCAGCAACTGTCTTTTCAAGCTGCAGTGATGCTGAACATTGACCACCGAATAATTTTAAATGCTCCAAACTTTTCTTGAATTCAGTTATTTGTCGAGTTTTTCCAAGGTGACTTTTTTTTTAATTCTTGTATTATGATTTGATGCGCTTTTTAAAAATAAAAGATATATAAAGAATCCAAGTCCCGTCGTCTTCTCTCCACGACAGATACTTCGTCAGGTGATAGGAGCACATTCATACCAAACTCCCTGTTTTAGAGCATTCCCACAACATCAAGTATCT